CTTACGTCATAACGTTAGAGTGATATTATTTTATGAAGATTGTCGATACGCATACCAAAAATAATATATTACTACCTATTAAGTGTAGTAATAATAATTGTGTTGTATGGAAGAACAATTATAAAAATAATTGTGACAAATTGACACAGCTTCGTTCAACTAATTTGAATTGCGTAACTCGAGCTCAAAATCGAGTTACCTGAATTTCAACTCGAGTCGATTTTTTTCTGTGTTATCATCTCTAAGACAATAATTTTTTAAATATTACATTACCTTAGCCAATGATCAGAACACGAATGTCAAAACAACTAATTTTTTTTTCAGATTTCTTGTTTCCGTTTACATTTTCGAAAAATCTATAGGCCATTTACTATTATAATTTGGTGTCTTTTTTTGGTGTAAATACCATTAAACGACGTTAATATTTCTAGTGGGCCCAAAAATGATTGTCTCCTTTCAATTTATCGTCGCAAAAAATCGAACGTCGTAACTTAGTCGTGATTATTTGATTGATTAGACGTACGAGTCTAAAAAAATGTGTGATAAATATTTTTAATTCTTATACATGTTGGTAACTTAGCAAAATTCCTTGCGTTAATTCAGTAACTCAGTCGTAGTTTACTGCACCAGCTCATTGCGCTAACTCAATACTGCGCCATGGCACAACAAATTTTAAGCACGTTTGTCTACTCAGCCATCTGCCAAAATAAAACAGTCTGCCTAGTAAGTAAAATAAAACGTAGAAAACAAAGATTACCTACATATGTATCACTACTTTTACATTTCACGGAATTACAGTGAAAAATAATATAAAATAACAATTTGCGTTTTTATTTTATTCTTTAAATATAATAAATCTGTAGAAAAATTATTTGTTCACAATTCGCGTAAAAACTAATGGACGGATTTCCATGAAATTTAGCATGTGTATGCAGTAAATGTTGGCATATAACATATAGGTAACTTTTTATCCGCTTACGGAGGACTAAAAGTGTGTAAGTGTGAAAATGAAACTCATCGCGTAATCAACCAGAAAGGGTAGAATAACGTTTGCCGAACCAGTTAGTTCCAAATAATATTAGCAATGCCATTACCATTACTAATATTTTTTTTAACCACTCCGGGTAAGCTTGAAATGCTTGTGTTAGTTTGCGATAATACACGAATGGCGGATTCAAACCCACAACCTTTTCGAGTTCGCGGTCCGCACCCTGAACTCAGGCTACTGATGCTTTGTTTTGATTTTTCTTTTAATAATAATAATCTTTATTGACATAAAATTTGTTACAATATTATTAAGGCCTCTGACTCCCGAGCTAGGTTAGTAGAAAACCTGTGTTACGAGAGTCGGTGATCTCCCTAACATAATGACAGCCACTTATTTTATGTAAATAAAGCAATTTTAAAATATGTGTGTGTGCGTTTGTGTGTGTGCGTGTGTCTTTGTGTGTGTGCGTGTGTGTTTGATTGCTTGGTAGAAGAAATAGAAAAGTTAGGTTTTTTGAGAGCTATGCTGGCAATCGTATAATGTGCGCGCTGCTATTACACGGCTACGTGGCGCAGTGGCCATGACTTGCAGAGATGAGGGCCGTGGGTTCGAATTCCGCACGAAACAAGTATTTATATGGCCTACAAATAATTTTTATGGGGCTGGATGTTCGTCCCTGTTTTTTCTAGGATTGGGTGACAAACGAGCACACTGTCCACCTGATGGTAAGTGGTTGCTGCGGCCCATAGACATCTACATCTATCCTCGATTACGAATCAAAATGCAGATGCGTTGTCACCCTTGAGGACTAAGATGGAAGCCCTCGTTACCAGTAAAAAGGGTCTCCGGTTCTGTACACTCATCATACGAAACAGCAGCATAAAGCTACTATTTTACTTTGGTGTTCTGTGAGAGCGTGGTCCTTCCCCGCCGTGCACGACGACCGACTCATTCGTGCTACAACTGTACTACTAATATAACTACAGCATGGCTCTATCACGTATAATACATAATGGAATAATTTTAATGTAAGGAAGCAATAAAAAAGTGTAAAGGAGACTGATACGCTTTCATACATTCTTGGGCCCAGATTGTAAAAAGATGAAAATGTTGTCAATCAATAGGTTATATGTTTTCAAAACATCACTGAAAATTCGGCGGATTTTAGCAATCTGAGAGCAAAGTTATATGAGATTAAAAGTGAGGTTATGCAACAATTTGGCAACAACCTAAACTTAACAGCTTAAATTGTAGTATTTATTGTACTGTATTGAGGTGGAGGATAATAGGAAACTCACAAATAGATTGGAAGATAGGGAAGGTTAGGCGATGTTTAAAAAAACCGTTTTTTAATTATCTTTTATTCGTCTTCAATTATAATTACAATTCACACAGCGATGCATTGTGTCAATATCGAATCGATAAAGTCCAGGCCGTAAAATCCACAATACCAAACCAAATTCAAACGGGTAAACCCACTGAAATCTAAATAATAAGGCACTAGAAATGCCTTCTACTGTCTTTTAATATCGGGACGCGTGTCGCCAGGTCGTAGCTTATCACACGTCTTAGAGCATACATTACATGGAGGGAGCACTGTGTGAGCAGAAAGCGTGATCGGTGCTCTAAGGTTTAGGTAGAGTCTGTCTCTCTCGCACATGCTTCTGATTGGCTGGCGTGTTTTTCACCGTTGCATCGCGCGAGCGCATGCCCAATTAAACAGCCAATGACAGTGACTGTGCGAGAGAGACAGACTCTACCTAAACTCAGTCTCTCTCTCTCTCTACGCCGATCACGCTTTCTGCTCACACAGTGCTCCCTCCATGTAATGTATGCTCTAAGTCACACGTAGACAAACACAACAATTACGCCTACAAATATCTCTAGCATTCATGCAACAAATTTTTTTCTATAAACTATTGCGTTAAGGAATATTTTATAAAAACGTGAGATTTTCTCAGGAGTCGTAGCCAATCGGTCCAGTAATTAAAGTGTGCGAAAAACAGAGAATGACATTGCGCGCTCGCTCTCACTTGGGCATAGTGCAGCGCAACGCACGTTTCGATAACTTTCTATTAAGCGTCGTTGATCTTCCAGGAGTCTCACACCAAGATATAACTATTTAACTGAAATTGTCTCAGTAATAGACGCTTTTAGTCTTAGCTTTAGCTTTAAGACGTTTTATAATTGGAAAAAAGGGGATATAGTAATACGTTAAGAACAAATATATCCATTTATCTTTAATAACCGGATCTTTTGGAAACTTGTATTAAAAGCATTGTATTAAATAAACAGATGTATAAATAAAATAACTACATTATACAAACATCAAACTCATAAATATACGTATGGGTGACATATTCATCATTTTTTATTAGTTTTAAAGATCTGTAACTGACTTTCTGTTTGCTACTTTTCAGTTTCCCGGCTTCTTACAGATCGAATTAAGACTACTATCCTTACAATATAATTACTTATCCATACAATATAACTAATTTAAAATTTATCAAGCAATTTAAAAGTACAAACTAACAGATAATCGCCAGTAAACGGTTAACGGTATAAAATATTTAGAAAGAAAAAAAAGTAGAAAGGTGTAAATAAATATTTAACGAACAATCACATTTAATTCCCGTTTCGTTAAAACTAGGTAAGCCAAACATAATAAATTATCGATACAAAATAGTTGTGTCACGTAACTGACTTGCATTCGAGTCCTGCGGCTGTGTTCTAGGAAATTTACGTACGCAACAATTTTGTTTATTACCCATACTATAAATCCATCGCTGATTTTAGCTGTCGTACTCGAATACTCGAACTAGCTTAAGAATCAATGGACGTTGAAATGTGAAAACAAATACAATTTCGGAGACAATCGTAGTACTGGAGGTGGATAATTTTATTTAAGTATATTTCATTAAACACATCATTATTTAAAACACTAAGTACTTATTTATGAAATGTTATCCCTTTATTTGAAAACTTGCAAGTTGTGGAGGAATTTCCGCAGTCGGATATGCTTCAAAACACCATTTTTACGTCTCTGCGTCCGAAACAACACTGGTGACTGTAACAGACGCTCCTCGCGTGCTTATCGCCTACGAGTCACATATGCGGCAACAAGGTCACGCGCTTATGCGACTTCTATTTATATTTAGATTTCTGTGGGTAAACCAGGTTATATATCCAAGTTAGTAAGATCAGAAATCCGTAGAAATAAAGAGGTGGTCGAGGAATATAAATCAATAAACCAACGGAAAACTCAGAAACACTAACTGTCAGCACAGATTAAAAATACAGTTGGCAACAAGTAATAAATCGAACTGTAAACGAGAATCGATTTTAAGATTTATTTTTATTATGTTGATATTTTATTTTTTAAACTGTTGACAATGTGTTCATTGTAATTTTTATAATTACTATGATTAAATCAATTATCTGCTGTAAGTTGTTTTAAGTTTAATTGTCAAAACTCATTCACACTAATCTATTGTAGTAATCGATATCTTATTTTATTTGTGTCATTAACTTATTTTTAAGATTTTACGTTTTTCGTGTTGTTCACTGAGAATTGGTGAAGTTTCTCTGACAGCAAAATGATTTTCATTATTCCAGATTACAATGGTTGGTTATTCCGGATCCGGTAAACATGGCCTCATCCGTCCATAAAATTTCCCTTAGGAAATTATAATTTAGTAAAATTCGCGTATAAAAAACCAATCTTGGTGTACCTATTGTCTTCTTCTCGTAAATTTTAGGCACGTGGAAAATGGTAAGGGTGAAGTCTTTCCTTTTTCAGTACGCGCAACACTAATTTTCTTTCTACCCAGCTGAGTTGCAATTTGACGAGTACTTAGTCGACGACGAGGTTAGCTGTTATTAACCTTGTCACCTCTTCATCAACGTCGTCATGAACAGCTTGACTACGTGGTACAGGTTTATTTCTTCTCCGACGTAAATCCATTTCACTAAATTGTCTGCTGATGCTGTTAATTACTTTTCTCCTTTCCAGCTTATTGGATCGCTCATCGGGCGGTGAAGTACGTGTTCGACGATGTGGACGGCTTACGTGCCTCCCCCCATCCAACGAACAGAGTGTGGGAGGTCATCCGGGAGCATTTCAACGCGGACTCCAGAGCCGATTTGTTGCCACACTCCTACAAGCATTTCGACAAGTCACATTTTGCCGGTGAGAGTCTTTAGTTGCCAACTAATTTGATATTTACATAATAGATAAATTAGCTCGAAATATATAGAAATGAATTTCTGTTACTGCCTTTAAGTGAATGGTTTATGTAAGGGTTGCAATTATGCTTTCTAATTAAAATACAGTAAAATTTCGATAAGTTAAATTTCGAGCTACAATATTTTGAGGGTAATTATTAAATACTTGCATAATATCTATACGATGAAATCTCGATAAATCGAACCTCGTTAAGTCGCAATTCTCAGGAGTTCGAAAAAAACATCCTATTCCCTTCCACTTAACAACAGAATAAATAATGGTACAAGAACAGAAGGATCACTCTGATAGTAAACTTGGGATATTAAACCTAGTTACAACGTCGCTAATGTTCATAATACTTTGCACGCCTCGGAAGTGACCATCGTGAAATTAGCCTACGGATTATTAAATCGTCGAAAAAAATGCGGCGCGCTTGTTAAATCAAAATGCACTTACGTCCGCGTGCGGTTGCCTGTATCACTTAGCCCGTTACGCGAATAGTTTGAGGCCGCTCCTGCTGTTGGGTTTGGTGTTACGAGAAAACAAATTGAATCATATAATATGCAACATCGAGAAAATTTAAGATTATATAACAGCGTGAACGTCAGATACGTCACACTTTTTGGCTTTTAATGTCTAAAAAAACTATTTAAGGACATGCGAGTCGCGATGACATTATTAATGAAAGAGTAGCAATGAGAAGTGGTGCTACTTTCTATCTCTTCTATCGCTGATTACTTACACTGAATAATTTTTTAAGGTCATTATCATATGCGAAAAATAGGAAACTGCGAAGCTGTGGTCGAGTCACTCATCAAATAATAAATCTGTAAATATGGCGTCAGTAACTAGGTACCCAACTATCTAGATCTACCTATAAATAATAATATCTTAACTTTCGATATCTTTTAGAACGGTAAAGAATGAAAAGTCGACATTCCTGTTGTTATTCAAGCACCCGTTATTTATGTAGTACTTTTTGGCTTTTTGAGTATACTTGAATAAAAACTCAAAAATAAATATCAAAAGTGCCTAAACAATTATAATGGAAAAATACTTTTTGTCAACGTAAGTCGCGCGTCTGCTCGAACGCGTGAGCCTCTTGTAGGCGGCTGCGCAGCGTAGGTATATTTTCATGTCTAAAAGCTTTAAAAAAATACGAAGTGAGACAGACCTGACTGAACCTTAAATACTCGGTATCTCCAATTATTTAGACTTTATAACTCGAACAAAATGTTACTTTCCTGAGAGTTCTCTAAAAATGAAATTAAATGTGCTCTAAATCTAAATTAAAGGTCTGACAGCGAAGCTCTCCGCACTGGCTGTACAGGGCGACGCTCTGTGCATGCACCTGTTTTCGGAAGCTGGAGCCGCTCTAGCAGCACACATCGCAGCCTTATGTTCACGATCTGCGTTGCCCAGCGTACGCGTAGTTTGCGTTGGCTCCGTGTGGAACAGTTGGAATACGCTCAAGTCGGGCGTTTTACAGCAGTTGGCTGAGAGACGGGTGAGTTTAATTTGAGTTCTTTACGTAGTACAGCCATGATGCAACTATATTAGTAGTATAGTTGTTACGAGAATGAGTAGGTTCGACCGGGGAGGGACCACGCTCTCACAGAATACCAGCATAACATAGCAGCTTAATGCTGCTGTGTTTCGTGTGGTGAGTCCAGAGAACCGGAGACGCTTTCTACTGTAAATGAGGTATTCCATCTTAGTTGTCACGGGTAACAATGCACCTGCATTTTGATTCGTAATCGAGGATAGATGTAGATGTCAATGGGCCACAGCATCCTCTTACCATTAGGTGGACAGTGTGCTCGGTTGTCACTCTTATACTATAAAAAAACATGTGTGCAGACCACACGCGGTTGAAGTGAAACCTTCAGAAAAGGGGACCAAGATAATAGGAAACACTGTATACTGTATTCCATCTCTTTTTCTCGCAGGCTAAGTCCTATAGATGTATATGTTTGTCTGTTATTAGTGTCACTTTTTGTTCTATGGACTTCACACACAACAATTCTTCATTTCAAAAACGTTTATTGAGGTCTTTTTTATAATTACTGTTTTAACCTATGGATTTGTTAAATTTCAGGTGAAAACAGAACTAGAGTTAGTTCGTTTACGAGTGTCTAGTGCGATGGGAGCGTGCTGGCTCGCCGCTAAACACGTTAACTACGACTTGCCACGTGATGACTCCGCGTTCTGCGAAGTGTTCTACACTTACCGACCCAGTGAGTTAGTAAATGGTGAGAACGGTAAAATAAATGGTAAATGCATCGAAAACGGCATCCAGGGCTGCGGATGCGAGGATTGGTGCAACTGGAGCTAGTGGTACGGATTTTCAGAATGTTCATTGCTAAAGTCGGGAGTACATTGTAAAGTTTATGGTAAGTTGTAAGGCTTGTGGTATATACGAAAGTCAATGGTACAGAGGCCACTTGCGTTTAAAACTGGCAATAGAAAGCGTGAACTACTATTGTTTTACTTGTAGGTCAGAATTTTTCTTTGGCTTAGTTCTTGGGTTTAATTCAATGAATTTATTAAAATTCAAAAAAGTGTTATCTAATTTACAATTTTATTCCGAATTAAAATATTACGAAAATAAAATTTAAGGAAAGTGACCCCGCAGTAGATGGTAAGTTGAATTAGTGATGTTATGTTATGTTTGAATATTTTCTTTAGATATGAATAAAAATGTAACATACCGAGTAAGTTTAGTAACAGTTAGTATCGTAACATATTTGTTATACAGGATTTACAATAAATTATACGACTAATTCTATGAAAATATATAATGTCGTCCAGACCTACTTTCGGTCACGGTGGCAAGTCTCTAAATCATTTATGCAGGATAGTATTATAGTTTTCGAATGTACACGTAAGTACAGCTGTTCTCTCTATCCCTCACTCTCCTATATTTGATTTTATTAATTTTTACACATACTTTTATCTATGTGTAAAAAATGACTGAAATCAAGTAAGTTTTTTAACAATACTACTGAATATATTCGATTGACATTGTGTATAGAGTTATTACAACAGACGTTGCGTGTTGCTAGTGCTGATTACTGCAAGAAATTCTCAATAGCAGCCCGGAGGCTGAAAGTTGGCAGTGTTTCACCCTCGTGCCTGGAAAAGCACGTAAAGCCGTTGGCCCTGCGCCCTATCTCTCACCGGTCGCGTCAGATTACCGTCCCACAGACTATGAGAGTGAGGGAATAGAGTGCACCTGTGCTTGCGCATATACTCTGGCAATATAATCCTGTCCCGCGCAGATGGATTATCTCCGTTAAGATTAGTCGCCGTGACCTAAATTCGATCTGCAGGACATTATAATAAAAACGATTACTAGAATAAACCTTATTAATTACCAAATCCCGTATTATATAGTCACATTGTAAGTTAATCCTAGCTAAAAGTATCTAACAAGTCAAAATGACTTGTGTAATTTGATCGATAATGCCGGTGATAGCAAAATAACAACTTTGTCTATCTATAGATATACTCTTCAATTTGAACTTTGCGAAATAAAGCATCTTTGTATAGTTATCGTTATATTTTTGAATAAGAATTAGTTGTTAATGTTAAGTTATATAAATAAAGAAGCTGCAATATTCCTAGTTGGGTAAAAAAAAAGATAAAATGACTTTCATAGTGCTAACAAAAAAATCCCGAAACTTCTAGAAAAAATAATTGGGATACACTTAGTGAACATATCCCTAATGTAGATAAATAAATGTTATAGGCTGATCTAATTATATTGTTACGAGCTTAGGGTTCGTGACAGTAAAAACTGCCGATTGAATTACCAAAATTGACACTTTAATTACTGAAAACCAATTAAAACCTAAATCACACTAATAATTATTCACACTTAACACTTTAGTTCCCTTTATTTCACTCTGAAAGCTTCGCTCGTATCGCCAATTCAATACTGCCCCGATCGCGGCTTTCAATGGCTTTTTATAGGCCTTTTCCCCCGAAACATCCAGAATATTCCAGCACATACTGGCCCCGACCGACCAGGTGCAGAAGGTTCGAGTGTGGTGGGGCTTTCTAGAAAGCTTAGTTCTTCTATTCGATACTAGATGGCGCTGTTGGTGGAAAGTTCAGGCATGGCATTTTCTAGAAAGCTCTCCTCGTTCTGTTCCCCGACACAAGATGGCGCTGGTGCCAGGTACCAGACATCAACTTAGGCTCGCAACAATATCATAAGAAACATATGGTATATTTAAAATGTTGCTATTAGTTCAGTAAAATTTTGATTAAAAACACAAACATAAACAGCCTGTCCCCTAGAGCGGTAGGCAGAGAATCCGTATACACTTCTCTCGCCTCCTCCACATCCATTATATCTATGCGTACATGCATGTATACATGCCCGTCGGTTAAGGGCCTTTGAATTTGGCCCATTTTCAATATGTCGCCAAATTGGTCGATAAAAAAGAAGTATATAATTATTGTAATTATTTACATTTTTTTATTATTGAATTTTGTTATTGTATATAATTTAGATATATTTTGTTTGATCGCTTAATCAAAGTTATGTAAAAATGCAATGAGTTTTTAATGATTTGAGTACTGATAAAGATTTAGATTTTTTATATAAAGCGTGTTCGTCCTCACATAAAAAAAAATGTCAACTTGGATTAATTTACATTTCAAATGGTGAAAGAATTTTTCAAATAGTTGCTGTGGTTCTGGATGTTACCCTCCACATACTTACACACTCTCAAAATTTGCCCTCTCTCTTTATAATATTGGTATAGATGGTATATAAAACAAAGCGAACCTTATACAGCGGTTTATATAATCTTTTAAGCTCTATAAAACATTGTATCGAATATATAAATGGTATGTAAATATAATGCTTAAGTTTATGTTTAGAATATAGTTCCTAATTTAGCACCTATATAGGTATATTTTTATACAGAATGTTTGGAAGCTGTGTGCAAATCCTGAAGGCGATGATACCTTAAACCATTTATAACATATTAAGCTATACGAAGTCGGCTCCTTTTTTTAAATTGAATTTTTAACCTTTTTAAAAACATGCTTAGTTACTGCCCTTTCTTTTGCGATATTATTGACGCAGATGTCTCATCAACTTGGATTTAGAGTGTGCAAAGCAAATTACGGACGAATATTTTTACTTTATACGGACCAAAATAATGCACCATTTTTACTAATGCACCATTGTTTTCGTTAGAATTGATTAACTTTTAGAATTACGGTGCATGTGCACGGATTAACTTCTGGGAACTCTTTAACAAAAGCCGTCGATGGCCCAAAAAATACTTGAAATTTTTTTCAGTAGAATAATCACCTTAGTAAATCACATAAAGTCCTTATACTTACTCACATTAATTAAGATCAGTACTCGACAAGACAAGTTTAGCTTAATATGCTCTAAATGGTTTAAGGCATCATCCTCTTCAGGATTTGCACCCATCTTCCAAACAACCTGTATATTGTTTATTAATCGCTTTAGAATTTAGATGATTTACGTCAGTCTGGGAATTTTAGGTTTTATATCTATTATCGTATTAAGTCTATTATGGGCTGTAGTTGATGGATGGATGGCAAGATTGCATACGATTTTGCTGAGCTAAATCAGTACGCCTTGCCATCTTCGGCTGCCTCACCACTTACCATTCGGGATAGAAGTCGAACGTTGACTTATAATAGTTAAACAAATGGCAGTATAATTCTTGCAATTCACGAGGTCGGGCGGGCTTCACTCGTGGTTGAACTTGTACATGCACATTGCGATAGTGTACGTGTGTGACGGAACGATCAGTTGCGAGCGTGTCGTTGCACCACGTACCACCATACCCGCTTTTGGTCTCACGCACACTTTCACATGTATACATTTTGCTTGTTTTGGTGGTGTGGTGCGGCTTTTTTCAAAATCAGAAACATGCTTACCAAAACCAAAGCTCGCTGAACTATTATTATGGTCGGATTCGTTTTGACGTTTGATTTTGTTGAATTGTGTCAATGTATCACTATCACTTAAGACCATGTTTAATTTATACGATCGAATTTAATAATATTATTATAACACAAAAAAATAAAACATAACGCATTTGCAGAGTTAATCCCACTTTTCCCACTGTTTAAAAATTCCCAGCAGAGTTGCAAAGTCGCACTCTAGATGTCATAGTAAACGTCGCGAATATAAAAAAACAAAAGTTTCTTAAACGCGACATAATGTGTAAAAATTTGTTATCAAATAGAAATAAATAGTAGGGCTATACAATTTATAATCTGTAAATATTTTATAATTTATATTTTTCTAAAATTGATATGAAATATTTTATTTCCATTTTAATTTTCTTTAATAATGTGACAAACAATCAAAATATGTTTAAGATTATATCTTCTTAAAGTGTCACATAAAAACTATTATTTAGTTATCTAGATAACTGTTTGTATGTCACATATAAGCGATATCTAAAACTGTGCTAACTGTTAATTATTGTGATTGCTATGAGCTATAATAGCTTAGAAGGTTAAAAAGCTTTTTAAAAGTTGATATGTACGTACTCGACGCGCTATTTATTTATATTTATCCCAAAAATTTTGATGCTGTTATTATTATTACAATTTTAATTAAACTTGTAATTAAACTAATAATAATGTAACGAATCTGTTTCCAATTTTCGATAATTATAAAAGAAAATATCATTTTTATGTTGTTTTTCTTCGTATACCTATTAAATGTCTCTACATCATAACAACTAACGTCGTGTAGTGTGGGGTGTAGGTGAAGCCACTATTTCCATCCCCCGGGTGTCGAAAGAGGCGACAAAGGAAAACAGGGGCAGGGCAGCAGCTTCTTCCTGATTACATCTCATAATAAAAAATTCATCTGCCAACTTGCCTTTCAAGCGAGACAAATATGCCTTACATCCCTTTTGTGATGCAATCTGTAAGGGAGGCCTGTGTTCCGAAGTGGACTATTAGATATGCCTTTAGATGTGAACCTCTTCTGCTGTGAAAGTCTCCAGGGGTGCACCTCTCCAGCTGTGGTCCTTTCCATCTGTGAACCTTTCCAGTTGTGAACGATCCCAGCTGTGAACCTTTCCTGCTGTGGACCTCTCCAGCTGTGAACCTGGTTAACCGGTCCACAGACCTATGAAGGGCTCCTAATGATGCTGATGAAGTAACGATTGAAGTAAATGTTCCTTTTACATTATCTTCAATATCTGATGCCATTTAAGAATTGTGTTTTTCTTTAAACAAGTAAAACATGGTAAATATAAGTATATGTTTGTCCTACAAATAATTGTTACGGGTTTGGATATTTGTCCTTGAACAATTTAT